ACGGTTTGTGCAGCCACGTGGGAGAGCGGCAAATAGGAGACCATTGCCTCGGAGCCCATCACCACCTTATCCAGGCCCTTGGCAATGCCGCGCGTATCGAACGCAATATTATCATGGGATAGCATCACGCCCTTGGGCATGCCCACTGTGCCGGATGTATAGACCAGGCAGCAGCACTCATTGATGGCGATTCGCTCCAGTCGGCGCTTGAACTCATCCTCGACATCTGCCACGTTCATGGACTCAATCTCCGACCACTGTAAAGATCAGTTGTTAACCAAATTTGCAATTTAACAAAAATTAAAAGTTCCAGCTGCAATTTACCCTATAGTAGCCATCCTCCTTCTTGAGATTTGGCACATAGGGCTCCTGTATTTGTATGGCAGCCTTCAGATTTGGCAGCTTGTCGCGTATGGAATGTATTTTCTCCATTTGCTTGGCATCATCCACAACGACAATCTGAGCACGTGAATCCTCGAGCACATGCTGCACTGCTTCCGCCGAGTTCGTTGTATAGATGCCGGCTATAATGCCACGTGCATGTATTGCGCCCATGGCCGAGTAGAACCATTCGGCGCAGTTGAAGGCCAACACGCCCACCGAATGATGCTCCTGCAGGCCCAGTTTAATAAAAGCTTTCGCCGTCTGGTGCACCTTCTGCTCGTATTGCCTGTGAAGTTAAATGGGCGGAAAACAAAAGTGGGTTAGAGTTGAAGCTTGTTGCTAAATTCAATAAGCGATAAAAACAATTTTGGTAGCGCGCAAATCGAAGGAACCAAAGATGGGCAAGTGCGCGAAAGCTTAAATACAACACGAACTGCATTCGGCAAAACACGACAAACACGACTTATTAAACTATGAGGGCTGCTTTATTTTTACCAAGAAGAGGCAAGTACTATAATTTTCTATATCAAAAGCCGAGTTGACTTTTAAGAAAGGCTCTTAAGAGACTGCAAGAGTACTTAATCTTCGTAGTTTTTCTTCAAATATATAAAATATGAAATACATTCGTGTTTAGACGTAATTTTTATTTAGAATACAAGCGAATTTTCGTGTGGGCTCGTTTGCGCGCTAGGCACGACCCGTGTTGAATCTATTTAAATCGTGTTGCCCATCGCTATGAAAAACCTCTCTCTAAGGGCACATTGACTTACTTATAGGTAACTGTGGTGTAGCCATTTTTGCCGTTCTTGGTGCGCAGAGCCGGATAGTCGGGATAATTGTTGACGGTACGCTTGAGCAGGCCGGGTATGGAGATGGGCTCCTCGGCGCCGAGTCCCTCCTTGTGCATGCGTATCTTGACGGCCTCCTCGGGATTGGTGGTGCGATAGACCTCCGCGGCCCTCAGGCGATTTGGGCCTGGGCGATTGAAAAGCGTTTCGTTCGGATTAGCGGCCATTTGACTGAAATTGAATTAACAAGCTATTAGTGGAGTACAAATTTCATTTTCTTTTTGAGACCAAGCAAATTTGGTATGCTACTTTCTGGGAACGGGTCTGCATGGTAACACGACGGTGGGGTCAAGGCTGAAGCAGTCGCATGTCTCTTATCGCTATGCTTAAATTATGACTTAACACCTGATTACGGCGGCATGGGGCACTCATATAACTGCATATTATAAATACGTATTGATCAGAATTTATGGCCTGCTATACTTTTACGGAGCCTGCTATACCTTTATGGAGGATTAGAATGGAGAAACCCTTTAACGAAAACTTGCTTTATCAAACTGTTCATACCATTTTATATAATTGCAAATAGGCAATAAAAATAAATATTAATAGATCAGGATTTATGAGATACTATAGCTTTAAGTGTCGAGTCAGCTAAGAACTTTGCGATTCGAATTCAAGAACCCCATATATTATAAAATTAAAATTAGAATCTAAATTTCAAGAAGGTATCAGAAGTTGAACACTACGTAAGATCTAAATAAGCGACATAAACATTTTATTATATCATATGCTGAAATGTATATAAAAATATATATAGAAACGTTTTGGAACAAAAGGTATTATTTTATATTAAAGGCATATAACTATGTACATTAGGATGGAATATGCTTAGAACTGAAGGATTCTACTTGAAACTCTTTTGGAGAAAAAAAAAGCTACTTGATTTTATAATATCGTAAATTCTTTAGGCAAAGCTTCTATATCATATGATATGAAGTCTGGCATTCGTATTTCCTGTCATTAGTTGTGTAAGCATAAAGTTTCCTTTCAGCCTTATCATCAATAAGATAATGCCATACACCGCAGAAGTCTTGGCTTACCATAGTTAACATTCGATTTTATTTTTCGGGTACAAAGGGCTACGACTTGGCATTTAGTTTACGATATCTATCTATGTATACACATGTACCCAGTAATTTTTGTTATTGTTTCTACCTTTTTTTTTTTTTTGTTTCTTGTTTTTATTAATCAATAAACTGGCAAACAGTTTGATACTGATAAGTGTAAATGCCCAAAATAAACAACAAAATGTGAGTTTCTTTTTGAAGAATGCATAGAAGAAATCCAGCAACAACAACATCTACTAAATGAGTCCAAAGTTTACGGCCAAGGCAACACGTTTGATTTTTCATGTTTAGTTGGAAAACATTTTGCCAGTCGCTCGGTTACTTAGTAGGCGTAGTTCCGCCCCTGATTAGCTCTGATTGATGGACGGAGGCTTCCCCACAAATGCCATGCAATTAAAAAAACAACTATATATATATATGATTGACAGTTGTCTAATGCACACGCGAGTTTTTTATTTGAAATTGTTAGCTAAAAATTTTGATGTTTGCCAATTGAACATTGATTTTGATTTTGATTTTATAATAGGGAAAGTTGTTGCATATTTTCATTATATTATATATAGTATAATAACACGATTTAAGTCCTAGGACTAACTGCTCTGCGTATACAATTAAGAAGAATATAAACTGGTTTTATTATTATGGAAGATTAATTGACATATTCATTAGAACAAATCTTTAAGGAAATTATAACTGAGAATAAGAAATTCAAGGATCCCTAAATCTAATACTATTTCTCATTATTATTAATATTATCATTTGAAATCTTATAAGTCCATCGACATTTTCTAAGACATGGAAAACTAATAAAAAATGTAATACAAACTATAGTTTAGAATAAGAAATTCAAGGAACAAGCCTTAGTTTTGAGCAATTCCCAAATCTATTGCTATTGCTCATTATTATTATTTTTATATTTAATTCGAATGGATACCTATGAAAGTTATTTGAAGCCTTTGAAAAATTAAATCTCGTAAATCACAAAAATCGGAACTAATGTTATAACTAAGTAACTAAATTTGTATTATAAATAAATTAAAACATTTTTGCCGACACTTTCAATTAAACAAGTGGATAATTAGAGCTGATATCATTAGAGAGTCAAATTCATTAGTTTGATTTATTGCACAAACAATAAATTCTCTTTTTTTCGAAAGATTTATAATTATCAGTGTAATTATTAATTACAACGGAAGCAAAGTCTAGAACTTGAATATTTCAAGTGATAAGAACAAAGTTTACAGCTGTTTTATTCTCGCTAAGCGACGATTAAAAAGCACAGTATGCTGCTCACTGGGATGCAAAAACTGTGAATATTATAGACATATGGACACTTGTCGATTCCAAGTTGACAAGACTTTTAGTTTCGACGAAATTTGATGAAATCTATTCAGGCCAATACGAAAGTTCTTTGTTCCAGAAGGTTGAAATAGAACAAACAGATGCAAATACATACACACATACATACATTTAAATATGAATTTAGGAAAAAATGAATAATTATATTTTGAGCATGTTTTAATTAACGAGCAAACATTGTGTATACTATTTTAGTATATTTCGAATATTTTATACGCAAATGCTACACATACACACACATACATGAAAATATACATACATATGTTCACAGCACTATATATGCATGTATGTATGTATGTATTCATACTCATATGTATGTACATACATTTGTCTAAACAGAATTTGCGTAGTTTTATAGCTGGGCGACTATGCGAAACTAAGCATATTAGAAACCGGCTTTTAAGTTGATAAGAGCAACAGAGTTTAGCGTCTAGACATTTTTCTATCGTACGATTCTCATCGCATGGGCTTCAAGTAAAAACTGAAATAGTTTTTTGCTTTGTAAAGTGCTTGTGCAAAAACTGTGTAATAAAAATACAATATCATAAAGTGGAAACCGCAAAGAGAGCATTTTACAGGCGACCTAAGAAGCTGCGGATGAAAACAAAACAGATAATTAACAGTTCTAAAAATATTTGCCATACATGTATGCATATGTGTGCGTGTGTATGTAATTTGTTGCTGTTTTCGAACAGTTGGTATTAAAACGAACCAAAAGAGAATGGCATGTCGCATAGCCGAAGAATTGCGGTTTTTTTTTCGAAAGTGGAATGAGCAATAACAAAGATGGGCCAAAGAGAGATGGTTTGAAATGCGATCAAAGCAAAAGACGAAATAGAAGACAAGCGAAAGCTGCAGGCGCAACTGACAGTTGAAAGGTGACAATGAACCCGAGAGCACAGTGCACTGACCCACTAAAATGAATTACTGGAGACGAGCCAAAGAGAGCAAATATAAACAGCCGGTAAACAGTTTGTGGTTCCTGTGTTTTCGAAAGCGCAGCAGCACACGTGTTTCAAGGTACGTGGGCGTGCGCCACAGCGCAGGTGTCAAACGCGCAAGTCACGCACTGTTCTTCCTATATTTCTTTTATGCTTTATGCCAAACTTACATAATTTAAATATATAAATGTGTATATGTTTGTATTTTGTGTTATTTATTGTTTTGATGTTATTTTCGTTACTCAGCGCAACACTTTTTTTTCACTAATTTTTGAATATTGTGCTGGTTCAACTTTTTACTTATAGCACGACCAAAGCAAACGACCGCACGCAGCGAAGCCAAAGCGTAAACTGAAAGCAGAACAGGATCGCTTGCTATTGAAATCGTGGATCGACGCTGGCGACGCTGCTTTCGCTGCCGCTGCCGCTGCCGCTGCCGTTGGCGCTGTCGATAAGTCTTCAAGCGGTTTTAAGCATGACGACTTAGAGAGCTACCTGCTTGTTCGTTCTTATCAGTTGGGCGCCTCACATTGACGTCGAAATCGAATTCGAAACGGGCCTTATGGTAAGTTCACACATACAAACATGCATAAAGCGTTATTCGAAATTTGTCTGATCTTTGCTTGGAAATCGTAGATGAAAAGCAACAACAACTATTTGCGCTTATCAGTTCAGTTCGAGTTTGCGCCCTTGTTGAAATCTTTTGGAACTCGCGCTGCCTGATTTATTATGTGTCTTGTGTTATGGTTCTTATCCTGGTTCTTTTCTCCTAAAGTATTTCAAACAATAGCATTTTGTTTGGCCCCTATGGAATATTTTAAATATTTCCCATTATACTCTGCTCACAAATTGTGAAGGGTATATAAGTTTTGTAACTTTTGACCGAAAATATGGAGTTTTAAAAGACTCGTTTCTTGTGATATACAGAACTTTTTATAAATGATAAGCAAAAGTTATCTAAAACCAATAAAATGGTATTTTTAAACACTCTTTCCATAGGATTTACAGAGTATTGTACAAAGAAACTCTTTCGATAAAGAAGAAGCAAAAACAAAACAAAAGAATAAAATAACGGCCGAAGTCTTACTTCAGATATACTGAGTGTACAGAGTATTGTGCAAGTCAGCAACGTTATTACTTGTCTCTTTTTCGTACATGCTTATAATAATTTAGTTTTTCCTTATTTTAATACAAATTGCTAATATATTAAAGCGAATGTAGTATAATCCAACCATAGTGATAATGTTCGTCTAGCTTAGAATATAAGCAAATTATATAAATAATCTTAAATTGTTTCGTATAGAATTTTAAAATAATTCTATGATATTTTATTATTATTTAAGTTATAAGTTAAGTTAAGTTATAAAAATAAATATGTATATCTGCTGCTATTAAATGAGGTACCTACTGTATACCCTAGATGTATACACTGTATAAGTATATCGATCACATCTCAAGTGAGTAATATTAGTTAGCATATTGCAGACATGCTTTAACTAAGTGTTCCTGTTTTTTTTTGTTCAATTGAAAGCACATTTTTTGCAGATGAATGTTACAGTTGGAACCTTCAGAAATGAGAAGCCACTAAAAAAATAGGCAAAATAATCTATCAAGAACTAGCTTTAATCAGTTAAGATTAGCTTGAAAAAGTCATAAATTTAAATTTTATATGTTATGTAGAAATCTATGTGCGTAGTTTGTTTTCTTTTACTTGTATTTTTTTTATTAATTATTTTTGGCCTTGAGGCTAGGCATGAACTTGACTTTGACTAACTTAGTATAGAATTAAAAATTCAGATTATTTGTTTTAGGCATGAATTAGCGCAACAATCCAATAGGAATTAAACAAAAGAAAATAAGTATATCAATATTAGTAAGCATCTTTATTTATAAATAAATACTAAGCTGATAAAATGTTAAAATTCCATATAAAAATATACAATTATTTTGCATGCACAAAAATAAACCAATAGATAATACCTGCGCTTATCTGCACTCGCTTTAAAAGTCAAACACCTGTTGCATTAATCAACCAATAATAATTTAATACCTTAATGAATCATAAAGATATTAGATTAAATTATATTAAAAAAAATTTACATTTATTATCAGAATTACTAAAAAAAAATTGAACTAAGATAAAACGCTCGTCGTTCTGCTTAGTCTGACGTAGACGCTGTATCTATATGTCTATATGTATGTGTGTGTGTGTGTGTGAGTGTGTGTGTGGGTACAGAAAAATAAACTCTATCAACTGACCGATTTGAAATATCTTGAAATATACAATTTTGACTGTTGCCAATTGTTTTGTTTTGCCGCTTATCAAAAGAAAATTATACAAGTTGGCCACATTTTATGATTTGATAAACATGCGCGTAGCATTAGTTTGAGCCCATTAACTGCAGTACACTATATACCATATACTGTATACTATATATATATACATATATATTTATATGTGTATAGTCGGCAGTTCTTTTTTAAAATTTATGTCCAACTTGGGGCACACTTCCGTCGCTGTCTAATCTTGGACGGCAACCTGCCAGAGGGCAAAGGTATGCACCTGAACCGCCCCCTGAATCATGACTGAGAATTAAAATTTCAGTTGCCCGTGGCGTACTATTTATTGATAAGATTATCTGTTTCTATAGCTTATATAAATCACAATTTTAGCATCTTTATGGCTAACAAAATGCGAACGCTTTGCGATTATCTATCGAGCACTTCAATCACAAGTCTTACATAGATACAGTTTCTATATATAAAATATACATATTTATTTATATATACTTATATCAGTTTGTTCTTGTCTCCCATCTATAGCTCTGACATAATAAACATCAATTTATTTGGCATTATAGCATATTTCGCATATAGTATTTAAATTCTACAGTTTTTTTTTTGTTTTCCTTATCAGTGGGAAAACACGAATGCTTCATGTGAAGCAGATTATATGCGTTTTTTTTTTTTCTATTTTATTTTGTCTATACCACGAAAGTTGCCTAAGTGCACGAGCTTCTTTTGGTATACTTAAAAGTCGGTAGCCATATTTTGACCAAATACCAGGTAATTTGTTAAAGATAATGTTAACTATAAAAGCAAGACATTAAACAGCCCACTATGACAAGCAAGAATTAGAAGCAAAATTAAATAATTTGTTTTTTTTTTTTAAGGCTCAATGTATAAATTAGAACAGAGTTTAAATTTCTCGAATATATTATTAATATAAAGATTTATATGACTTCTCAAATTTAATTTAAAATAGAACAATTTATTAATATATTAATCAAGATACATTTGAAATATAGCTAAAGTATTTATAGTTAAATTAAAAAATATGAAGAGCAAAAAATTACACTATTAATTCGATATTTATTTATATAATAAATTATTATATTATAATTGCCCCGAAGACGGTTACCGCAACAAACAAAATTGTTGTTCATTTTTGTTGTATATAAATTAAAATTCTTAAACCATAAACCAATTTGTTCTTAAATTAACTAAATTAAATTAGTTGAATTAATCACAGCTAAGCTATTACATGAAAACATTAGAAACATAAAATCAAATAATTATAATAAAAATAAATTAAAATAAAATAATTTAACTCTTAAATTGAATTCCACTTCACTTGGTTTTTGTTATTTTATTTTTATTTAAATAATAAAAATATATATAAATGAAGAACAAAACATAAACCAAAATAATTTGATTATAAAATAAAATGTAGGTTATTTAATGAAAAATGTTTATTTATCTATTTATATTATGGAAATAATTTAGAAAAATAGTAGCAGCAAATAATTTTTCAAGTTAGTATTATTTAACAAAATTATATTAAGATAAAATCACATTAAGCTTTGAATTTGTAGAAATTGGTATATTGAATTATGTTTTTAATATTATTCGACATAATGAACACAAGAAAACAAAATATAATGAATTTAAATAGAATTTAAACTAGCTAAATAATTATATATTAATTAAGAATAAAGAAAGTAATTTAATTCATTAAATAAATTTAAGCCTCCACTTGAATTGCGCAAATAGAAGTATAACTATGTTTACTTTATTAAGTGTTCAAGCTTTTTTTCTGGCCATACGAAGCCCACGAGTTCAAACATTTTTTCGACAGACTGTAAAAGCTTTCGCTAAAGCTCGTGCGCATAGCCAAGCTTACAACCTTGCAAAAGCTTAATTCAAGGCTAAGCTTTTGCTGAATTCGCCGCAAATAAATATAAAAAAGTGCTGTAAATTGGAGACAGACAGTGATATACATAAGTATATCCACGTCTGCGAGGCTATCAATTTACGTAGCATTGGTTAACAGTTAAGCCGAGCTGCAAGACAATTGCAGTGCCCAAGGTAGGGGGGCGGTGTTTGGGTCGGTTAGGGTGTGCTCTATAAAGCGCATATAAGTCCAGTGACAGACATCATTTATATGCTTGTGCCTTAAGAGCGCTTTATATGACAGTCGAGTCCTGTCAACGGGATGAAATGAATACTAAATTGAACTACAATTTCGAAGTCAATCCCGATTCCGATTCCGATGTCATGTTAATGAGATTGTCGTCAACGGAATCAAATTACGTGGCACAAAGTTGCTGTTTATAGCGCCAGGACACGCCACCCCACCCCCCAACACACACACACACACACATGCACAGTAAACGCATGCAAATGATGTGCTGATGTGTAAAAAAAAGACTTAAAAATAAACACGAAAACCGTTTAAGCACAGGTTAGCAAAAGCAATGAACGTGTGTTGGCATTTTCAACAAGTTCATAGTACCTCAAGGGTTGTGGGCGTGATGGCGGGGGAGGGGTGTCGCAGAGGGCTTAGGGCAGCATCCTGCTGGGATAACAAGTGTTTGGCTAATTAACTCAGTTGAAATGCGCCACACACACACACACACAGCCAGACAATGAACTGTTCTGTACTGCATATAATTGTCTTGCCACGCCCACTCGCCTACATCCATTCGGGCAGCAGGATAACAAAAGGAGTAAGGCGTAAAGTTGAACTGTTTAGAATTGACCATAAAAATATCAGATTTTATGGCACTTGCGAGTGGGATTTAACGTGATGTGTACTTATGTGGCTACTCGATATTATCCTCAGCTTTAATTGTGATTATACAAATCAAACTTAATGCCAAATCGAGAGTGTATCGATTGAGTGAAATGGAAAGATATTAATTAAGCTCAAGGGAGATTTATTCGAGATTTTAAATGCATTAAAACTGTGATATTAAAGTTGTAATTACTGTATTACATCATAATGAGATAATATAATTTATTTATTAATGTGTATTATTAACCGATATGATATATATTGAGATAATATAATAAGCTATTACTATTACCTATTCGTTTTTAATTTAATTGGCTTAGCTGACAATTTTATCGAAATATCTATCTACCTAATTTAAAACCTACCTAATTTAAATTAATTATTTTTTAAGGACAGGTAAGTTAATCATTTACAATTCAGCATCGAAAAAATACTTTTTAATGATTATTTGGATAATATATATATATTTTTTAAAGTAATTTCTATAGAACGAAAGTTATTATTTTATTCGTTAAAAAAAATTAAATAAATAAACATAAATACTAAAAAGACATAATATACGTTATCTAGATATAATGCAAATTTGTATGTAAAAATTTGGACACATTTTTAAAATTTAAATTTTAAACATTGTTGTACTTATCGCAATCAAAATTATAGTGTGTATATGTATTTAATTACCTATTTAATTTGTTGAGATTTATTTAAGTAATGTTTGTTATTTCTTTAAATAATTCAATTACATATTAACAAATATTTTTGAAATGCAGCTTGTTTTGCTTTTATTTGTAAATCACAATTTATTCATTATTTTAATTTTTCAGTTTTTTAAACATTAGATTTATGTATTTTTATAAAATATTTAATTTTGTTTACCTTTAAATAAAAATATATTTTTTAAATAACTTTATTTATTCTAAATATGTTAATGATTATAAATATTTATTTATAAAATAATTTAAAATTATGCGTGTATTAAATTATTTTATAACGTATATTCACGTATATATACATATTTAAACAAATCTTCGTGAAATATAAATTTTTTTGCTCATAT